AAGAACGTGACACACGCCGTCTCCTCATCATAAACAAATTGGTACAGCAGATGTAGCTAGAGTGTCAGAAAACAGATTATTTTATGGAGCAATTATTATCAGTCATTTTTTTCTGAAGCATTAGCCATGCATTTAACAAGTACAGCCGTGGATATCAATTTTCCTTGAACAGAACACAGTTATTTTTGTTATACATAACTGAAAAACTGAAGTTTTCTTTTAAAAAGGGAAAATTAAATACACCCCATGTATTAAGCATGGAAAGATGAAAAGAGAAGTAACTAACTCTGACTCACCCCATTCAAAAAATCAGCAAAGTCGGTCAAAACTCTGGAAGTTGCCACTGGTATTTTCGCTCACCACCACTGTAAATGAACCGGGTTTGCTTTTTCTGAAAGAAAAGTTTGCCAGTTCTCCACCTGGCTTTCTCTGTGGGAGATGAAGGCAGACCTGGGAGGGCTTCAGGAGTGAATGTAGTTTAATGACTGAGAGAAAAGTAAAGGTGGGGGGGGGAGAGAAAGGAGAAAGAGGGTGAATGTGAAACCAACTGATGTCTGGAAAATGAAGACCTGGGTTAGGGGATCTGTGAGGCGCGCGCACACACACAATTTGAGCTGTCTCTGTGCTCTGCAACATAATACTTTGGCGGCTCCATCCCAAGCAAATCAGTTACCTGAACCCGAGGCCTGGTGGTAATGAGGTTGCAGACAGTGTGGAGGGGATCGAAAGGATTGAGCCACTTCATGATGGAATAGCTTTCATTTTTCAGACGTGGAGGAGGAGGAGGAGGAGAAGAAGAAGAAATTGGATTTATACCCTGCCCTTCACTAGCCCGAAGGAGTCTCAGGCTTACAATCCCTTTCCTCTCCCCTCTCCTGCGAGGAAAATGGGGCTGGGAGAGCTCTGAGAGGGCTGTGACTGATCCAAGGTCACCCAGCTAACTTCATGTGGAGAAGTGGGGAAATCAAACCTGCTTCTCCAGATTAGGGTCCTGCTGCTCTTAACCACTACACCAATACTGGTGTTTTCTCTGCAGGTGGAAAGTTAGCACTTAGAGTTATCAACCTCCAGGCAGGGCCTGGAGAGCTCCTGGAATTAACTGATCTCCTAGAATTACAAGTGATCTCCAGACTAAAGAGAGCCGTTCCCCTGGAGAAAATAGCTGCTTTGGAAGGTGCACTGTATGGTTTCATGCCTTGCTATAGGCCCCTGCCATCCTCTCCAGGCTCAACCCCTAAATCTCCAGGAATTTCCCAAACTGGAGCTGGCAACCCTATTAACACAACATGCTTTGCATCCTGATGTACTAGTTTGCTTGGGGTTTTTTGAGATACAGGCAGTTTTTACACGGAGAAGTGTTAAAAATGTGATCCCTACTTATCCTCTGAAGCAGCATAGCTACCCCAGAATTCTGTCTCGTAATTCAGCTGCATGTCGAAACCAGGCTGGAGACAGGAAAGGGCCACTGCTGGGACGGATTCCAGAACCCCTGCGAAACCAAAGGTCTGGCAACAGTATTAGGAGGAGGAGGAGGAGGAGCAGGAAGAGGAGAAGAAGAAGAAGAAAAAGAAGAGGAGGAGGAGGAGATTGGATTTATACCCTGTCCTTTACTACCCGAAGCAATTTCAGAGCGGCATACAATCCCCTTCCCCTCCCCACAACAGACACTTTGTGAGGTAGGTGGGGCTGAGAGAGCTCTTTGAGGACTGCTCTTGAGAGAACAGCTCTGAGAGAACTTGTGACTGACCCAAGGTCACACCAGCAGCTGCATGTGGAGGAGTGGGGAATCAAACCCGGTTCTCCCAGTTTAGAGTCTGCGCTCTTAGCCACGACACCAAACTGGCTCTCTGAAGTCCTGGAGGCGTTTCTAAACCTCTGAGTCTAACAGAAATTACACCTAACTTTTAAAACTGAGGGTCTTCCACAAAGCTTCATCAGTAACATATGCATGTAGGGCTTGATCTATCAATTCCGAGGCTAGTAGCATCTTAAGAGACAGACAAGATTTCCAGGGTATGAGGTTTTGAGAACTAAAGCTCCCTTCATTGTTACAGCAGACAAAGGGTGCCCTTTGACTGTCGAAAGCTCATTCCCCAAAAACTTGTTGGGCTCTAAGATGCTGCTGGACTTGAAGCTAACTGATCTCCTGCAGACAAACATGGCTACCCTCTGAAACTTATTTTGGTCTGTATCTAGTGGCAGGTGGTTCCACAGTGCAACAGCAGTTTTCTTGTCATTCCCTCCACCAGATGTGGCTTCTCATTGTCAAAATGAGCTATTGGTTTCTAACTTGAGACCACAAATTCCTCAACTTACAGAATTTGCACCGAAATTACACTGGGAATGTTAAAATCACATTTCCTTTCATGAAAGGGGTAAAATACAAGGTAGACCAGTCTAAGAAGTGCATCACCCATTGCTTGTGACCAGCTCCCTTAAAGTCTTTTTTAAAGACCTTTCCTGCATAGAGAGGTGGATCCTGCGTAGGAAACAACGTTTTCAGTTATAGCTGCAAAAGGGTACAAACTGTTTCTAATGGGGTAAGAACTCCATGTAAAGCCAGTTTGGTGTGCAGACTCTAATCTGGGAGAACCGGGTTTGATTTCCTCACTCCTCCATATGCAGCTGCTGGTGTGACCTTGGGTCAGTCACAAGTCCTTTCAGAGCTGTTCTTTCAAGGGACGTTCTCAAAAGAGCTCTCTCAGCCCCACCTACCTCACAGGGTGTCTGTTGTGGGGAGGGGAAGGGAAAGGGATTGTAAGCCACTCTGAGACTCCTTCAGGTAATGAAGGGCGGGGTAGAAGTCTCTTCTTCGTCTTCTTAAGAGGATGCAGTTGCTGTTCATCCCTACTACTTTCTTTTCAAAGGAAAGTAGGTCTGGATGCTAGACAGAGGCAATAGCTTTGTCGGGAAGTACTGGTGACCAATAAAGCCATCAAATCAGGGAGCCGAGCCAAGGATCACTAGTTGTCTGGGCAACAGCGGACAGAATTCCTCTCTCACCCCACCCAGGAGGAAAGCAGTCCAGATACCCTCTGCAGTACCATCACATAGCCCTTAAAAGAGCACAGAAATGGAAGCAAATTGGGACTGTGAACCTGCATTAAAAAGGTAAAAGGTGAGTTAGTCGGTGGAGCCTTTATATCCTTCCATGAAAAGCTCACTAAAAAACTGATCTCCCTTTTATTTAGTCAGGATCTCCTCCAATGTTCCCTCTATGCTGTGGAGTCTCGTGAGCAAAAACTCTACTTTGTGAGCTACTGGCATTAAAATTGTGAGCGAGTGATTGGGCTACTGCATAAGTTAGTTTGCTCTGGAGCCATCCTTCCTGAGCTAAGATAAAAATGTGTGAGCCAGAGGCTAAAAAACTGTGAGCTAGCTCACACTAACTCAGCTTAGAGGGAACACTGATCTCCTCTCTCCAGAAGCAAAAACATCCTGGTCACTTAGAGACAAAGAAACTACCCTGCGTGTGGCAAAGTTTGGAAGCAGCTGTTGTCAAATCACATGACAACTTTTGCAGGAGCAACTTTTAAATTCTTCCATGTTTTCCTTCGGAACGAGGTTTATTGTGGGATAAAGGTGTGCTGTTTATGACTCCCGTTGCAAAAACAGTAAAGACAATTAATCAATAAAAAAGCTCACTGTTTACATTAAGCAACATAGAACCTCATGAAAGTTTGGCTTAGCTGGATTCTCATAATATCGACACAGGCATTTATTCTTCTCAACGGAAAAGGATCACAATTCTTGTGTTACACTGCCATCTAGGTTGAAGGAGGTGGATTTACACACAAGACCATGAGGTGCAGTCACTTCATTTCAAGTTATTGTGAAAGAAGTTCGGTTGGGCATTTCATCTGAAAGACACAAAGACACATAGTTTTTTGTCCCTGAACTGACTTTCAAAGCAAACAGCATGGAAGTTTTTGCGCAGCATCACATGGGACTAATGACCAGGTGCAAGGCCATAGCTGAAACATGTTTTGCACACAGATAGTCCCAGGTTCCATCCTCAGCATCTCGTTAGAAGAATCTCTAATAACAAGTGCTGGGTATGACCTGCTCTCCCTGAGATTTTAAGATATCTGCTGCCAGACAGAGCAACCAATACAGGGCTATGCACATGAACGATTTGACTCGGTAGCTTTTAATGTTCATGGTCTTTACAGGAAGGGCCATAGAGCAATGGCAGAGCACATGGCATCCATCCAAAAGGTCTCAGATTCTACCTCCAGAAGGAGGAGGAGGAGAGATTGGATTTATACCCCGCCCTTCACTACCCGAAGGAGTCTCAGAGCGGCTTACAATCTCCTTTCCCTTCCCCTCCCCACAATAAACACTTTGTGAGGTAGGTGGGGCATAGGTAAAACAGAGAGATAGGAGCGAGAAATTTAAAAATAGAACAGAGTGCAGCAGCAATACTTCCCCTTGCCTCCAGACCGGAACCAGAAATTCGCCTCCAAAATTGAGGTAGGTGGGGCTGAGAGCGCTCTTTTGAGGACTGCTCCTGCGAGAACAGCTCTGAGAGAACTTGTGACTGACTCAAGGTCACACCAGCAGCTGCATGCGGAGGAGTGGGAAATCAAACCTGGTTCTCCCAGATTAAAGTCCGCACCCCTAACCACTACACCAAACTGGAGTGGGAACAGATCTCTGCTGCCATTTTGATGTAAGAATGTGGCTGGAGTCAGACAAACATGTGAAGCTGCTGTATATGGAGTCAGACTACTGGTATATCAAAGACAGAATTGTCCGCTCTGACGGGCAGCAGATCTCCAGGGTCTTTCACATCATCTGTTACCCAAGATCCTGGCAGTGGAGATCCTGGGGACTGATGCAAAGCAGACCGCATCACTGATCCAAGGCCTCTCCTGGTTATAAGGAGGGTCATCCATATTCTACCTGTGAGAAATGACAGACCCACCCAGCTGGGCTCCCTTAGTATAAACGAACCTCAGAGGCAAGTGTCATCTCAAAAAAAGTTTTTATTAGCATGATTAAAAACATGTGCTGAAGACTGACAGATAAAATAATGTCATTAAACATGGAAGAGAAGTCCATTCCGACCACTTGTTCATCAACCCAGTTTTGTCGTACATAGAATGGACCGCTTTATTGCCAGCACGGTCTTCTGATGAACAAAAAACAGCCAAAATGTTATCCGTTGGAGCAGTAAGTCCTGGGTATTGCTGGATCATGAGTCCTACTGTCATTAGGTATAAAAAAATATCTTTGATTTATTGTCGGATTGCAGGTGCGTTGTAGGGGCGGGGGTTAAGAAATCAACAGTGGAATAGTTCTGTCTTTAAAAAAACAGTCCTTTTTTCCGCTTTCACATACTACAAAGAAATTAGTATTTTGACCTTTTAGACTTCTTCATACATGATGTTGATTTCGAATGACAACCACTAAAAGAAAAAAAAAATCTCATTCCTTCCTCCCTTCTTGCAATTAATAGGAAAAAAAAGAGAATCAAAAACGCTTCATTCGCAGAGGCTGCATCTTGGGTTTGGCTGGGGGGATGCTGTCACACAGGCTTGAGGACAAAGACGGCGTCGTCCAGGACGTAGAAGTCATTGTACATGTCCCCTTCGCACAAGTACGGCAGTCTAGTGAAAGCCTCTATGGCAAAGCCGGCTTTCTTGAAAACATCCGGCAGGCTGTTCACTTGCTCCTCCCACGTCTGTCCTTTGATTTCCAACACTTCAGAAGGCTTGTCCCATTTGCCACCTACTGAGAAAGCACAGAGACTTGTTTTTAATTAAGTTGAAAACTGCAAAAATTTAGAAAGAAAGAAAGAAAGAAAGAAAGAAAGAAAGAAAGAAAGAAAGAAAGAAAGAAAGAAAGAAAGATAGATAGATTAAGGTAGCAAAAGCAGAGCAGGCAAGAGACTGAACTGTGATCTGCAAAGTCCTCAGTTTGCAAAAACTTAATCAAGTTGCCCTTGAACACACATGAAACTGCCTTCAATTGAGTCAGACCATTGGTGTGTCAAGGCCTGGACTGCCAACGCCTCTCCAGGGTCTTGGGCAGAGGCCTTTCATGTCACCTACAACCTGATCGTTTTAAGGGGAGATGTTGGGGATTGAACCCGGGACCTTCTGCATGCAAAGCAGATGCTCTGCCACTGAGCCACAGTCTTTTCCCTTTCCCTCCTACAGCTCCTCTCTTCTCTCGGCACCTCCTCTCCCCTCATAATATGCAATGTGCAGATAGCTTTACAGGGCCCTTGTAAAAGTGACCATAAGATGATGTGTGTGAAGCTCCTTGGAGACTCACACTGCTGTGCTAAGCAGAGCTACACCCTTCTCAGTTCACTGAAGCCAGTGGGCTTAGGATTTATACTGCAAATGTGCTATGCAAAGGCTAAGTGTTGTACCTGACAATGTACGCTGCTGCCCCTGAACACCACAGAGGACAGGGCGGCATGAAAATCTAATGAAAGCAAACTGGACTGGTGTCCAATTTTATGCAGGAATTTCACCAGAGAGATGGAAAGGCCCAGAGAATCACGGCCAGAGGTGTTGTTCAATGCTCCCTCTAAACTGTGGAGTCTTGTGAGCAAAAATCCCTGCTTTGTGAGCTACTGGCATTAAAGTTGTGAGCAGGTGATTTGGCTGCTGCCTAAATCAGTTTAAGGAGCTGCGGTGGCTCAAGTGGTTAAGACGCTGAACTGCAGGCTGTGGAAGGTCAGTAGTTCAGCAGTTCAAGACCCGGGTGCCGCATGATGGAGTGAGCTCCCATCTCTAGTTCCAGCTCCTGCCAACCTAGCAGTTCGAAAGCAAGAAATTGCAAGTAGATAAATAGGGACCACTTCGGTGGGAAGGGAACAGCGTTCCGTGCGCCTTGGTGTTTAGTCATCCCAGCCACATGACCACGGAAACATCTTCGGACAGCGCTGGCTCTTCGGCTTTGAAATGGAGATGAGCACCGCAACCCTAGAGTCGGATTCGACTGGCTTTCGAGCAAGGGAAACCTTTACCTTTACCTAAATCAGTTTGCTCTGGAGCCATCCTTCCTAAGCTAAGACAAAAATGTGTGAGCCAAAGGCTAAAAAAAATGTGAGCTAGCTCACACTGACTCAGCTTAGAGGGAACACTGGTGGCTTTCCATTTTTGCTGGAGACGGAAGGGGCTGGGCATCACACCGTCTTTTTCTTCTTCCCCCGCCTTTAGGAGGCAGCCTCTCGGTGAGGTTTTCAGAGCAGGAAATCCAAAGAGAGAGTGGGGTCTACTTAACTTTACCAGTTATTTGGACTACCAAGCCAGATCTCTGGCTGCTGGTGTCCCTGACCTTGAAAGCTGGGAGCAAGGAGCGCACCTATGCAGGTTTCAGTATCGTACGGAAGACAGTCCTTCAAAAGAAACAAACCTACTGTGGCATTCAGCTTTCTTGAAGCAGAGCCCGCTTCAACAGATTCGTGATGTGTTTCGTTGACAGAGATGTATATGGCCGCAGCTACAAACAATGAACAGGCACAGAGGAGAGTAAAATGATCCATGCAGAGCAGGGATGGACCACTCCCACTTGTTGATGAACTTATAAAACAGAGGACGAATCCAGATAGCATACCTAAATCTGTAAGGAGGGACAATGACCCTTTTGCAGTGAGCTAACCACCCTCAGCCCCTATCGAGTTCAAGACAGAGTGCATCAAATCTGTACATGAATCCCAAGTCACCTAGAATATCTGTGCTTGACATTCTAAGTTGATCCATGGATTGAGTGGTCAGGAAGATGCCCTTGGCTGACCCAAGAGGACACAAGGGAAGAAGGAAGTGTTTTATAGTCACCTGAGTCCCTGAAGTTCAGTATGCCAGAGAGGAAGCAGTTTTCCTCCCTATCCAAATTACCTGGTGATCTTGAGATATATGTATTTCCTGTTAGCTTGAACCATCTTTTTAAAATGCCAATGTTTTCTCCTTTGTAGTAGGATAATCTGCTGCTTTCAGAACTGCACGTTTACCTAATGCTAGAAAATGAAGCTTCCTGGCTTACTTGGCAAGTACAACATACAAGGACATCTGTGCTGGATCAAACCAATGGGATCGCTAGTTCAGCATCCTAATTCACAGAGTGGCCAATTAGATGCCCCTATGAAATAAGGGCACAAAGGACCAAGTCAGCAACTGGTACTGAGATACACTGTCTCTGAACAGGGAGGTTCCATTTAGCCATCATAGCTAATAGCCAGGGATGGACATATATCCGCCACAAAGAGATCTAATCTCTTTTTTTTATATCTATCTATCTATAGATATATAGATACAGATATAGATATATAGATAGATAGGCATGCCAACTGTGACAGAAACCCTAAAAACTTCCTAGAGTTCAAGAGTGCCACCTAGGACATCTGGGATGATAGACACCTGGAGTCTGAATTGGAATAACCGATTCATTTCCATTCCACATTGGATCACGTTGCCAGATTGAAACCTTTTTGCATAAAGGTTTCCATTCCACATTGGATCACCTTGCCAGATTGAAACCTTTTTGCATAAAGGACAATCCAGTTTGGACCTATTTGTCATGTCAGTGGGAGTGGTAGTATATTTTATACATCTCTGATTAGTAGCAATATCCTCTGACATCAGAGACGGGGCTTTGCACGGGATTCACTAAATCAGCTTGCCAAGAGGTAGCTGGCTTGAGTCCAGTTTCATTGACCATAAATATGTGGACATCTGAGATTTTCCCTTGCCGTCAGTAGGAACTGGGGTTAAGGACTCCCCCATCATCTTGTTACTATAAGGAACTCTGCACATGCTCTGATGAACCTGCTACAGCGTAGGTAACATGCATTTAGCTTAGATAGTTCAACTGCATTGCTTTTCATTTGAAGATCTCTGTGGTGTTGTTGCTGTGTGCTTTTCCCAGTATTTTCATTTTGCCCCCTTTTAGAATCCAACCACCCTTTCCCTTTTCTCTCTCTCTTCTATAATAAACCTTTTCTTTTATAAAGAGGGTTTTTTTTGGCTTCACTTAATACAATCGATTTATCTGGGATATTTATCTGAATCTCTTCCCTATGTGCTAGACTGCAAAGGTGCTACATAGTTTGTTATATTTTCTAAGGTTTCTACCCTCTCACTTTGTTAGTGCTCTAGTACTCTGCTAGAAGGATACCTTTTCAGAGGGTCAGTCTAGATATTCTCAGCAGATCCCTGAGTGGTGGCAGCTAGTTACCAGCATGCTGGTTAGGTACCTGTTGGTCTAAGAGAGTTTCCCAGCAAGGAGAGACACCATTTGCCCCCCCCTTAATCCTGTAACAGGCTCCCAATGCTATGTTTATGTCTGCAAGTTTCCCATATTGGGCAACAAAGAGAAGAGTCACCACCAACAGCTTCCTGGTTTAGTTCCGCTTACAAAGATCCTTTACTTCTACTTGCTGAAGCAGAAACTCTTTCTGGAGTAAACTTGTGAACGAAATGGCAACATGCAAACGGCAGGCTTTCATCCTGGCAATGAAGTTCACCTGGATGTTATACCATGCTGGTAAGGATTTCTGCTTCTGAATAATGCCTTTCCGTTGTCAGTTCTATACTTAATGGGCCTTAAAAAAAGGAAAAGGACCAGCATCCGGTGAGTCTTACAAAGGAATTCTGGGGAAATGGCTGATCTGAGGCAAGGCACGTGACCAGGGGGTCAGAGCAGAAATGGCGAGAAACAAAACAGTCGCTCTCTTTCTTGCGCGGCCTAACCTGACTCACAGGGCTCCTGTTGCGAGGATAAAAAGGAAGAAAGGGAGAATGATGCTTTGGGGAGAAAAACGGGGTATAAACACCTAAGTAAAGAAATCTGCCTGTACTTTGAAAACTGTTAATAAAACACACGGACAGTTTCTGAGAGAGAGCGACTGAAAACTCCAAAAGAAAACATCACTGCCCGTTTGTCAGGTGAGAGGCACGGAGAGGCAACAGCCATCTCGGCTGGAACAAGGCAATACCCAGAGCAGATCCAGAATATGTGGGCACGCTCCTGCGGCTCGGCCTTCTCCCAAGACCTCCTCGGAGGGCACCTGAGTCAGCCTCTGAGACTCAAGGCTCACCTGTGTCAGCTAAGCTGCCAATAGTGTGGTGTGTGTTTCCCTTTCATGTGCATTCTTTCCCTTGCGCTTAATTGCCTCTTCGCTGCAACACATATCTCTCAAGGCCACTGGAGGAGTTGCTATGTCTCAACACAGAAAGAATCGTGGGAAGCTTCTTACCTGTTTTGCTTTTGCAGCCGTTAGTTCTCAGCCTAATGCCCGCGCGCAGGAACCCCTGTAATTTGGTACTACGTGTGTGTGTGTGTATACGAATGCCCTATAACCTATTATGTGCATAGATCACCCGCCATTCCTAACAGTGTTCATGTTACTAATAAAAGTAAAACCTTCCTGGAAGCGTGTACTTCGTTGTTTTGCTGTGGGTCCTGACAACCTGGTCAAAACCTTCCCTGAAGAAAGCTTACAGGATTGTGGAGAAGGCCACCCCCCCAAAAAAGGCAGGCTTCAAATGCAGCGCACAAAAGTGACGTGGTACCCCCTTCCATGCAAATGATCGCCTGGCCTCCAATGCCAAATCTATTCTGAGCGCTATCTGTTTGCAGCACTCGTATACCAATCGTGTAGGAAGAAAATGCAGTTTTAAAGATTTCCCTGTGATTATTTTTACTTGATGTTGATCAGATCTTCCTCGTCTTAGCCACTAGACATTTAAAAGAACCTCTTCATTTTCGCCTCCCCGTTA